CCAATGTATGTGGCCGGGCATGATGCACAGGGGACTTCGTATATGCCTTGGTTTTCCAGGTCAATTTTATCTTTGGGGTTGCTAAGGATGGCTGCTATTATATATATATCTTTGGTTATTCGGGTTTTCTCCCGCGTAAGATTGGAAGTATCTAGGCAACGTTTCGATGAAGTCTCATTCATCATCTTCAGGCTTGTGTCTTCAGCTCTGTGCTTCTCACATGCATTTTAACACACTCCTAGTAGGCATCTGCAGCTGATGAATTAAAGCAACAGGATCATGCAAGGTTATTTTTTGTGCCTTTGCAGCAGCTTTGCCAGAAGAGGGAACTGTTGTCTTACTGTTTGGTCTACTAACAGGGCAAATAGCCAGTGAACATGGCGCTGTAATTCTAATTCAGTGGAGATGGAATGGCACAAAGACCAGTCAAGAGCCGTCTAACTAACTCTATAAAGACACTGACTAGAAACTTTCTTTACAGATTTGAATTGCATGGTTATTTGTGGAATGATAAAATCAAGGTCAATGTGCATTTTAAAAATCATTTTATTAGACGTGCCATACTGAGAATTTGGAACAGGTATAAGGCAAAATTGACTCTTAAAATTCCTTTGTGCTTGTCACCCCAACAAGTTTTTTTTTTCAGAAGGGAAATTGATAATTAAACAAAAATGGTTGCCGTCTGCTGATTTCTTGAATTTTTCTCAAGGAGAATTTAACTTAAAAATGAGAAAATTGGGAGTTTGTAGGTTTTAGATGGCATTGGTTTCCCTCTGCTCATCTAATGGAAAGATTTAAGGTGGATAAGAGGAATTATGAATTGTAAAAGGGTAAAACTGAATTTGACATAGAATTTTGTACAAATGATGATCAAATTATTTCTAAGATATACAAACTTGGAGAAAAAAAATGGAGGCAGAGGATGAATAAGTCCAAAGTCAAAGTCCTAGCTTTTCACAGCTCATTTCTGTAGGAAATAATGTCTACCTTTCAATCCCATCCAAAAGATGCCGATGTCTTTGGGAGAGAAGAGCACTGCCGCCCCAGGCTGCCTACAGCAGAAAAAAAGGGCCACATGAGTTACTCAAAAAGAAGTCCAGTCAAAAGCAATGGGGATAGTGCTACTGTTGGAATTCCCAAATTAAAAATACAAGAATATCATTCAAATGGTAACAGGGTAGCTAAAGGGCTAATTTTTAAAGGCTACAAGAATCTCAAGATAGTTTTCAAGCAGAATATGAAAATCTGGGTTCATGCAGAATGTTCACAAACATGAAGAAAATCACTTTTCTACAAATGTACCCCCAGAATAATAAATCACACTTCACTCAGCAACACAGCCTCCCGCTCTACCTCTGTGTGACTGAACCATTCATCACATATTTTCTCACCAATCTCCATTGGGGAATATATATGTATCTGCTGGGTGAGTTGTTAAGGCAGCGCACATCAATAGAATAGAATAGAATAGAATAGAATAGAATAGAATAGAATAGAATAGAATAGAATAGAATAGAATAGAATTCTTTATTGGCCAAGTGTGACATACAAGGAAGTTGTCTTGGTGCAAATGCTCCCAGTGCACATAAAAGAAAAGATACATTTGTCAAGAGTCAAAAATCATAAGATGCAACACTTAATGATAATCATAGGGTACAATAATCATACTAGGAAACAGTCAATAAAAATCGTAAGGATACAAGCAACAAAATTACAGTCATACAGTCACAAATGGGAGGGGACGGGTGATAAGGAGTGATGAGAAGATTAATAGTAATAGTGGTGCAGACTTTGTAAATAGCTGGACAGTGTTGAGGGAATTATTTGTTTAGCAGAGTGGTGGCGTTTGGGGAAAAACTGTTCTTGTGTCTAGTTGTTCTGGCGTGCAGTGCTCTATAGCGTCGTTTTGAGGGAAGGAGTTGAAACAGCTTATGTCCTGGATGTGAGGGGTCTGTACATCTCTAGAAAGTCCTTACCGCCACAGGTTGTACTTACATCCACATGGAACCAGAGTTTGTGCCTTTTGCACACCTCTGCAATTTCAGGTAGGGGGTCAAACGCTCCCAGGACTGTGGTGCCACAGGTGGCATTGACAAAGAAGGGGAGCGCTCTCTGGAAGAGAAGATGAGAGCTTTCTTTAGCATACTGTACTGTATATTTGGCCCAAACAATAGGATCTGACACATGTGGTCGCATCTGTCCAAATTTCATTTCGTTCACATGTTGATCCTTGATAAAGGAAGCATAAGCTATTACATTAGTACACTGTTTCTTCTTTTGCTGCACACCTCAGACAAAGAGTCAGAGTTGGCAAAGTCCCTATGCCCATTGAGTGTCTCTTTTAACAGGATCACTGGCTTGGATGTGGGAAGAAAAAGCAGCCTGTTACATATAGCTTAGTGCAGTGATAGCTAACCTTTTCAGCACTGAGTGCCCAAAGCGCGCGCAAACCCCCAAAGTGCAATGCACGCATGTCCTCCATGCATGCGCCCCACCCCGTGCATGTGCACACATTCCCCACGCAGGTGTCCTGCCCTCGTGCCCACCGCACATGCACCCCATGCCACTTGCACCCCGCCCCGTCCCCTGCATGCATGGCAGAGACCCAAAAACCAACTGGCCAAGCGGGAGGCGCATGCGCGTGCGTGGCAGAGCTGAGCTGGGGTGATGGCTCGCATGCCTGCAAAAAGGGCTTTGCGTGCCACCTCTGGCATGTGTGCCATGGGTTCGCCATCACAGGCTTAGTGGAAGCAAAGGGAAAATTGTAACTTCCTCAAAACCCTCCACAGGCAACATACCTCTGATTTGGCCTGGTTGATCTTTTTCTCTAGATCAGCAGGGATCATCTTCCCTCTGAGGAAGAAAAGAGTGGCTGAAATGACTGAGCCATGAAAGTCCTTTCAACAGGTCCTTCTTGCTTAAGCCCCTCTGACTTCAAATCATTCCAAGCAGGCGGCAGAATGAAGCTATGTGTTTCACTTTAATAATATAAAAGGAACTTTAACTTTGAACCTGCCTCTAGTGTAAATTACATCAGAGGAAAAGTTTCCACATTAGCCTTGTATGAAGCACTAGGATTTTTTAGCACAGGAAGATTTTTCCTCTTGAGGAAACCACTTATAATAACATCGATTTCATGCACACTGAAATGATACGTTTTAGAGCGGCCCACTAGTGGGCTGTGAGGGGCTTGCAGCTGGGCCGTGGAAATGGCCAGTGAGTACACATGTACATACACTCATCCTCCATTTGCATGAGTGGCAGGCACATGTGCATGCCATTTGTAAAACTGGATCTGTGCACACACCTACTTGCTAGTTGCTTGTGCAAATTATCCCCTCCTTCCTCCACCGGTGTGCAAAGCCAGAAACATTGGGGAACTCTGATCTAGAATAAATTCTTCCATATGAACTTGCTATTTATACAGATAAATAATGATAAATAATGAGAACAGTTGCCAGATACAAGACTAATCATAGATCTGCTTAGTTGCTATTACTTAGGTGCCTTTGTTTTATCGGTTCGGTATGTTGAAAGGTCACATACAAAGTGGTATTTCAGTCTTAGCTCTTACAATGCCCTCACTAATTGTTTATTTATTTGTTTGTTTGTTTGTTTGTCAATTATGCCACCAGTTAGAAACAACAGCTTATGGAGAGCACAATATTTACAATCTTAAGGGCTAGAAACGTGAATTTACTTAAAATACATATTCTTAGCTGGTTCGATTTCACAGACATCACCAAGCTGAACTATGGAGCACGTGAAACTGAAACCCAGAGCTCAGATTAAGGGACTGTAATTTTTTAGACCATAATCACTGCAATTGGCAAAGGATTCCTAAAATCTGGGGTGGGTGGGTGGGAAACAACTGAACAATGGGATAAGCAATCCACAATGGTTCTAATGTCTGTGTGTATTGCAGTGGTGGGATTCCAAAAAAAAAAAAAAATTATCACCGGTTCAGTGAGCGTGGCTTGGTGGGCATGCTTTGTGCGCATGCAAACACTTAGCGCGCGTGCACCAAACGTACAATTTTGCACAGGCGCAGAGGCGTTCCAACTCACCTTCTGCAGGACTGCACTCTCCTGGTCGCTTCAGCAGCTGCCACGTGGCACTCTGCTGTGCCGCGCAAAGCAGCTGTGCTTCAAAAGCAGGGGATAAAGGTGAGTATGGGAGCCCCGGCGAGCAGGTGGGCGCAACAGCAGAGCAGCGGAGACAACCAATTTGGTCTCCTGTGCTCATCGGCGCTACCGGCTCTGCAGAACCGGGCAGAACCGGTAGAATACTACCACTGGTGTATTGGGTATGGTTAGGGAGATAATCCAGATTAAATGGTCCATTTATTACAACACCAAGATGGAACCTTTGATCTTATCTAACTTTATAAGGCTTTCCAGTTATTAACACTCACTTTTCATCCGCTGCTACAAGGTAGACATTGTCAGTGCCGATGCCCAAAAAAGCTGCTCCCTTTTGGATGGAGTAGTGGCACTAAAAACCAGAAAAAGAGGGTCAGCATTGTAAGATTTCCTCTAAGAAAAACTTTCTCCCAGAACCCTGTTCTGAGTCTTGGGAAGCCATTTAGTAATGGATCCATTTAGAAATCAACTACTACTCATTTACTTTTTTACATTTCTATCTAACCAATGCAATCCTGAAGTTCTGGGGAGAGAGAGCATTCCCAGATATTATCCCCCCTTATCTTCTCTAAATTTAGAGCAATAGATTACAGATCCTGACAAAGATCATGGTCCACCAGAAGATACACAGCAATACAAGTCTTCAAAATGAAGGTCATTTGGTGGTTTCACAGCTATTATTTGCAAAATGGGAATAATTAATTTACTTTAGGCAGGTAGAGAATAACAGCAAGATTTTCTGGCATGTGTCCCTATCTCTGGTATTCTTTTTCCAGGGGGCCTACATACTTACAAATATGTGCAAGCCACTGGTAGGATTCAACCAGTGTTACTACCGGTTCGGTGACTGCGTTGCGCGTGTGTGTAGAAAAACCTTAAGCTGTGCCGCCCGGACATCTGAAAAGCGCTGCGCGCAGGTGTGCAGCATTTGGAAAGCTTTTTTCCTGCTTTTTCAACCTCGCACAAAGCAGCTGAGGTTCTGTGCCGCGCAAAGCAGCTGAGGTTGAAAAAGCAGGAAATAAAGGACAGGTAAGAGCCTGGGCGGGCGGGCGGGCGGGCAGGTGGGCCAAACAGCAGCAAACACAGAACTGGTTTGGTGTCTGCTGCTCTTCAGAGCTACCAGTTCTGTGGAGCTGGGCAGAACCAATAGCATCCCACCCCTGGTGCAGGCAAGCCCATTTTCCCCTTTTTTGGGGAGATAAATACCACCTCCCCTCCCAAAAACCATAAACAAAACAAATATGTCCCACTATTGTACAGTACAAAAATATTCAGCTTTTTTTCAGCAGAGTTATGTTTGATCTCAACTGACACTCCAATAAACAAACAAACCTAAATGAGGTCAGAATAAAATTAGATTTAGTTTGATTTATAAGGAAATGATACCTACAAAGATCAGAAATGTACATGTCCTGGAATTTCCTGCAACTATCTATACAAGTGAAAACTGGAGTTTGAAGAAGCAAGATAGGAAAACCATTGATACTTTTGAACTTTAGTGTTGGAGAAAACTCCAGGGAATACTATGGACAGTCAAGAAAACAAACCAATGGATCATTAAAAAAATTAACCCAGAATTCTCACTCAAAGCACAAATGACCAGATTCAAATTTTCCCACTTTGGACACATTAAGCAAAGATCTAGCTTTCTAGAGAAGTCTATAATGCTGGGAAAGAAATAAGGAAAAAGAAGAATGGGACAATCAGTAGCCAGTCTCAGTTACAGTCATGATTAAGATGCCATTTGGAACTTCCCAAAATGTCTGCTGTTAACAGGCCAGTCTGATCCAACTTCTGATGTACACAAGTTCCAGCTTCAGTCTATCTTAGTTGCACCCAACCTGGTTCCCTCCAAATGTCCCCTGATACCAAATCTTATTTTAGTATTGTTGATAAGACAATGCCCTCTCTCAGTAGCACTGCTGGGAAGGTATTTGCCCTAGAGACCATTAGTGTTTTCCTGGCTCTTCCAAATCCCCAACAACAATATCTGCTGCCTGAGGTGCTGCTTGTCCCCCTGCCTCAGGAGTAGGTCTAAGAAAAGTCAGTTTTGGGGGCAACAGGTCATACTTTCATTACAGATCTTGGAAAGTCCCAAAAGCATGGGCAACATTGTGGTAGAATTATTCAAAATAAACATGTTAAGTCTATTGTGGAGGATGTTTTTTAATTATACCCCAAAGCAAAACATTTTGCCGCCAAATTTCAATAGCATAATCTGAGGAGGCAATACAGAGGTGGTATTCAGCAGATTCTGACCAGTTCTGGAGAACCAGTAGTGGAAATTTTGAGTAGTTCGGAGAACCGGCAAATACCACCTGTAACTGGAGATTTTACAGTATCCTTCCCCTGCCACGCCCACCAAGCCACACCCACAGAACCGGTAGTAAAAAAATTTGAATTCTACCACTGTTTCCCCCACCAAAACAAAAAACAAATTAGGCTGGGTTAACCAAAAGTAAGTACCCTATTTCTCCAACAATATGGCCTCCCCCAATAGGAAGTCCCAGCATGTTTTATAGGCATGAAATGAAATTAAGCCCCTCCCCCCAAATCAAGGCCTATATTAAAACATGCGAAATGGGGGGGAATGGTGGGGGGGGCTTGCTGTTAGGAAGTACTTTCAGATATGGTGCTGCCTGCATTGACCCCAATATGAAGTGCCCCACCAATGCCGAGGTCAACATCCAAGCCATCGCTGCCCGCCCGCCCGAAGATGCAAGGGGGGGGGGAATTAAGTCACCCCCGAAAAGACAGCCTAGCCATTTTTGGGGGGCTCAAAAAAAAATAAGACCCGGCCTTATTATATGAGAAACACAGTAGGTTGGTTCTCCGGAGCATGCACAAGAAAACAATACCTCTTCTGATGTAAACACTGCCAGCTTTGGTATTGCCCAATGCCCTTTCTGCTTGCAGTCTGGGAAACAGTGATACCGTGCCACATTCATGGCATACATGTTGGAGATGGACCCTCCTACCAAGGAAAACAACCCAGAGAATTGTTCAATGACCCACTCATTACCATTTTAAAGTCAAATCTTAAGGTTAGCATGTAACTCCCAGACATCTCCAGTGCATCAGTTGTAGACACAATGAATGGCAGAAATTGCTTTCATTTGGATGATCCAGAATTAAGGGCCTTCTCTGTGGTGGTTCCTTCCCTTTGGAACAATATTCCCTCAGAGATTCGCCTCCCACGTTGTTGCTTTTCCAAAATAATTTGAAAATACAGTTTTGTCAGAGAGCTTGGAGACCCCATTCAAAGCCAGCCAAGTAGGTTGTCTGATTCTGTTGTGGCCACCAGGGGGTGGTGGAAGGTAGGCTAAATTATAAATTTTCATTGGTGGATTTTTAATGTTGTATGCAGCCCAAAGTCACTATGTGAGAGTTAAGCAGCTATATACATTTGTTTAATAAATAAATAATATTGGATGCATGTCACCTCTAAAAAATTTATAAACAAACACAAGCCCCTGAAAATACCCGGATTCTAAGTTTTACGTACCAGGGGAGAAGATTCCGTCACCTTTTTCCCAGCCAACCAACTTTCGCAGTTTCTTCAGCACTACCTCCTCCATCAAGACAAATACAGGTGCAATCTCATAAGTGTATCTAAAACACAAGTGGCCTTATGAGTCTCATCTGAGAAACAGCCAAAATTGCCAGCAAATTATCAGAGAGCAATGAAGGTATTGGTTTAGATTAGGAGTAGAGTGGCTAGAGTACTCCACTGCTCTAGTTTTTATTAAAACTGCCAAGATTTATTTACTCCATCAGGAGAGGTTTCTTGGACAAATTTGAAAGTGCCAGATTTTTGTAGTTTTCTTTCCTTTTTAAAATTTTGATTTGTCTTTTTCTTTACTCTTTTTTTCTAATAGAAGTTTTTATCTTATGATGATATTACTAATTGCCTATAGCCTTCAATAATAGGCAGTATAAAATGAAGTAAATCTGTAAATAAATATAAATATTTGAAGGGATAAAATTAAGGGAAGCAGACTCCCATTCTTTCCCCCTTGTCACCTGTCTCTTGTTCCATACAGTCAACACATCTGATTGTATGGAGCAGGACTGACATATCTGGCCTGCAAAAATACGTAAGATTTCTACAGGGCAGCAAGGAGACTTTCTGGTACCTCTTTGTTGCCATGAATAGTAATCACCCAGATTTCTTCACCCTTCACCCTGGTAGCTCAAACCCCAAGCAACAGAAGCCACAGCAAATGAGCAACTTTGGAGGAGGAAAGTTAGCAGTCATGGACCTTATGAGGATTCAACTGGGAGTAGAATGCAGATAAATATATAACCCAGAAAGGGCTCTAGGTTCCAAATAGAGTCATGCTACTAATGCACGCCTCCTGAAGATCGTGGTATCTTCATATTAATATTTACTCACTTGCAGAGATAGAATGCAAGGGTTTTTCAAGATGGAAGAAGTCTGCATTTAGCCACTACATTCATTGGCACTACATACACTTTGGGCCAGTCACTGGCCTGATTCACATTAAACCAAGATTGGTTTTAGCATTTTTAAGCAAGCACATCTACCATATATCACACTAAATTCCAAGCAAAGAAGTTACATTTTGGCTTAATTTTATATATGAACAGAATATTTTATCTGAGTTTAAATTATTCCATAGAGTGGTCATGAGGATAAAAGGAAGAGGAAAAACTACACATAACACTTAATTTTGCTATTTGCCATGAGGGGAGAGTTGTTAATATAGTTGATATCAAATTACTCCCCCCCCCCCCTTCGCTCTCACTACCCATTTACTAGGGAGATGCCTCGTCAGTTGCCACAGAGCAAATGTTTCACAATCAGAGGAATCTACTCTACTAACAGTCTCCCTGAATCAGAGAGAAAGAAGATTATTTATATTATATTATTGCTTATATCACAATACATTACAGTGTTGCTCATCGGAATTTGATCCACTGCATATTTTTGTCTCTGCAACTTTGGATCATTTCAAAACCTTGACAAACTTAACTGATACTGCAACAGTGAAGGACATTCAACAGAATTTGTGGATAAAATACAGTACATCACAAAAAGCAAAGACTTTTCCTCAGACTGCTTTCTAGTGGACACACTTGTAAAAATTACAATCTCTAATCCAAAAAAAGCAACAGTGAAATTCACCTAGGCTGTAGCTGAGTCTTGGGAATTCTTTTCCTTTTTTAAAAAATTTAAATGCCAAAATATATGAAAAAGTGGAGAACACGTACTGGCTAGTGTTGAGCATCTCTGTGATCATCCGTCCAGCCAGAGCATGGGGATCAAGGCCAGAAAATAGCTGATTGCAGAAGCGTGGATGACCTGCAAGAAAAAGAAAGAGACTCCTGCTGCGTTCTTTTGGATCAGCTACTGAACTCCCACCACTTTTACTGAACCGAATCCACTTTCATGGGGAAAGATTGAGGCTTGCAGCCTTGCACATCAAGAGGAAAGGAAATTGTGCCAAAGGAAATAGTCTCTAGGGAAGTACTTCATATTTTCCGTGCCATTATAGATATTAACGTGCAATGTAAGCATTTACCAAAGGCTCATTTGTATTACTGGAACTATCCATGATATTCCGTAGTGCTTTCCTGAATCCCAGCTATTTGTTTACATTTCAGTCACCTTCCATCATTGGAGGTCATCTAGTCCAACCCCCTGCTTGAATAGGAGAGTCTATTCCAATTATTAGCCTCTACCTAGGATTGAACTCATAGCCTCCTGATTGTGAGCCGAGAGCTCTACCTCTAGGCCACCACAGGTGCGATAATTGTACAATAACTATTTTAAATTCATTTGTCCTTATCCTTAAGAAAATAACTATAGTTTGAAAAGAATCACATCAAATCCTAAGTATTGAGGTCTTTCCCCCTCAACTTGAAACTTAGTCTCTTCGTACACATTACATTTCTACCCAAATTACCAGGCTCAAATTATCCTCCTTGGATACATTGCCTGAATATTGTACCTAGCTCTGTGGAGAAGTCTAAAATGCTGGGAAAGAGAAGAAAACAACGAGAAGCAAGGTGGGTGGACTCAATTATAGTAGCAATGGGTACACCATTAGAAGATCTGAAGGACTAGATTAGGGACAGATCAACAGGGAGAAAATCTATTTATGTTGCTAGGAATTAGCACTAACTTTATGGCACATTTATTTATTTTATTTATTTATTTATTTATTTATTTGATTTGCCAATTGTTTACAAGATAATAAGTATAAGTGTATACATAGTTGTGAATACATGAAATGGGTACATATAAGAAAAATAAAAGAAGAATAAGAGAAACAATAGGACAGGGACGGTAGGCACGTTGGTGCGCTTATGCACACCCCCTACAGACCTCTTAGGAAAGGGGTGAGGTCAATAGTAGACAGTCTAAGGTTAAAGTTTTTGGGGTTTGGGGAAGAAACTACAGAGTCGGGTAGAGTATTCCAGACATTGACCACACAATCAATAATCATAATCAACCACACACTCATTATTTTAAAAAAGACCATCCAACGTACAGTAAATTGGGGAATCAACTAACTCAAGTTGCCAGGATAGGCAAACTAATTTCAATAACTGGACCCGAACAATCCTATCTCCTAAGAAGTTTTGAAGAAAGAACAATACTCTCTTAACTCTTGACGTGCAGAATACTTACATGTTTTCACACTGTATCTGATAACATCCCGACAGCGTTCCAGCAACCTTTCATGTGGCTCCCCATTGTCTTTTAGATTTAGGTCCAGAATTTGCAGCAGTTCCTCAGGTTCCTTCCAAATACACACCTACCAGCAAGATAGTCAGCTCATTTCCGAAAAGCCATAGAAGGTTGTATACAAGCTGAACAGTGCAATCCTATACCCAGGTTATGCCTCCTGGATGACAAAGGGTTGGTATAAAATTCTATTTATCAGCACAAGTCCAAATTCTGCTGCCTGAAGGTGCTATTATGTTTTCAGAAATTTAAGTTAAATTTCCCAAGCTCCCCCAATGTTTTAATCCCTGACATTTTTAGCCAGCATTCCTGATTGGCCAGGAGTCTGGGACCTATAGTTTCAATGCTTCTTGGAGATATTAGGTGGAAAAATGTTGCCCTACTATGTATTAAATATGGTATTAAACTGGGTGTTGGGAGGGGAACTAGAAAAATTGAGAAAAGAGTGGATTATACCCAATTTAGTCAATGCAAACCATCTGGGATTAGGAATTGATGATTTTTCTGCTGAGGGACTACTTTGTTAGCTTGCAAGTAAAATTCAGTTTGGATACCTGGCCCAAGCCATTACTTAAAGTATATAGAGTGGACACCCCAGCTCAAGAAAATTTAGAATGAAAATCAATATAACTTACCTTTTCAGAAGCATCCATCCCTTTTCGAATTCCTTCTTCAAGCATGATTTGGAAGGCTTCCTGCAGGAACTTCTCACCAGCTACCCGATCCAAGCCAGGAGATGACAAAGAATCTTTTGCTGCCATTGTCAAACACACCTCCTCCTATAACAGGCCAGGCATCAGGAACATGAAATCAAATTAGACCCTGAAGGGAAATCCACTAAAACATCTCCATATTGTATATTTTGTAACATTCTTTTTTCTGGTACTTATCTCCAGAAAAAAGAATGTTACAAAATGCAAATAGTCATTGTAACTAGGCTCATATCAACTTCCAACTAGTGACACTCAGTTCTTTGAGCTTAACACTGGGACAATAGAGGTACTTGTTGTTGTTTTCCAGTACCCTTCACAGTATAATGTTTATGCTAACACAGAGATGTAGCCGTCCCTATTTCATTCATACATTTAATAGTACGTGGGATACAACTGTAATTTATGAGCAGCTAACCTTCAATGAACTTTATGGACAATGGCAAAGACATCAATTCACACTGAGAAGGAGAAGGCAATGATAAACCACTCCTGTATTTTTATCAAGAAAACCTCATGATTAGAAAATACAAAATGATTGAAAAGACTTGAAAGATCAAGTTATGGACAAATCTTTATGCAGGAAATTTATCTATATGGTCACTAAGAGCTGACAACAACTTGATAATGATGGCTCATAATCAATATTTTTATAAAATAATTTTTATAAAATAATTATTGTATGTCACCAGAGAAATTGTCTAGAATGTATAAAGGGACTTCAAATTTACATTGGAAATGAGAAACATAAGTAATAAGTATCATGCTTGGTGGATGTGTAAAAAAAGCAAAAAAGGGGGGGGTGGTTTACTGGTTCAGAGGATTTTAAAGATTAATATATAATTGAGACCAGGAGTCTGCCTCCTGAGACTGATGGATAAAAGTCATGGTACTTTGATTCTGTATATGATAACTGCACATTGCATCCTACAATCAGTGAAAGATTCATTGCAAATCACTTAGGTTCTTAATCTGTAAAACAGCATCATCTATCTGCATTTTTTTTAAAAAAACCCTACATTCTTAATTTCAACCAACAAACATCACCACATGCACTCGTTACACATTAAGACCCCATAGTTTTTGGGGAAATAATAATATTCTTGAAATTATTAGACACTGATGAAATCTTCACATATGCGTTAAACAAGCCCAATAATTTTTCCATCTGCAAACCACATCCATGCTTTAACATTTTTTTGTAATTCAATAACTACTTCTGCAGATTTCCAATTTTTCAACTTTGAAAACCCATCTTTCCAGCCTTGGAAATTTAAAAATTGCAAGACTGAAAAATGTTAGACTGAAGAAGTTCAAAGACATATCAGATTTGCTAGTGTGATTAACTATAACACAGCTGAAAACACGCAGCCCATACCACCTCACCTTCTCGTTGAATGGGAGTCAGGTGTGCTGCCTCTTTCTCCGTCCCTGGAAGATTCGCTGCACCCTACAGATGAATTATTTCAAAAGGCAGAGAGATGATGAGCTCCTGCTTCTTCAGACACAACCTCTGCTAACTGTATTTTCAGCAAAGGAAAATCTGCTCCAACATTATTTTGTAGTTTTACTCTCCACATAAGAGGAAAGAAAGAACATAATGTCCAATTGCTATGGTTACCTGCCCAATCCTGTACAGATTTCCACTGCTTTCAGGGACAAAGTACAAAGGGAGTGACCGCATAACCAGCAAGTATCATTATATATTGTGGGAGTAAAAATATTTGCACTCAAACCCTGCCCTCTGGATTGCTCCACAAGTTTTTTTCCCCTCCCCCAGAGTTGTTTTACCCTTAAAGGGGGGGGGTGAGGATACCTTGGGGTACCAAAAGCTTCCTTTATATTTATTTGTGTCAAAAAGTAACATCAATTACATTCCACATTTCTACTCCTCCAAAATATGTGGATTTTATGTGTGCCTGCACACAGAAGCCCAAAGAGTGATTTGGAGACCTAAATTTGCATACAGGAACTATCATGATTGCAGATATACATACCTGCCTGCATGCAGACACCTGTCCAAACAACTCCTTTCTCACCACCCAGCAATCAAACATTGTCCAGATATAAATTTCTCTGCTGGGTTCTGGAAAATATTTGTGCTATTTTGCGACAGTGAACAAAGAGACTTGCAAATGTAAGGATTCTGCACATCTGGTTTGATATATTCATGATTTGAACTCTGCATCATCTGGCCACCAGATTGTTGATTTGTTTGCCTTAATTTGATTATTCAAGATTATTCATTGCTCATACAGGCAGTGCTCAACACATCACTGTAATTGACCCTGCAATTATGGTCATTATGGTCACTGGCTAAGCAGGTCATCATACCTGATTTTACAACCTGTTTTGCAGCCGTTAATCTAACATGGCAGTTGTTAGCAAACACCATGGTCATTAAGCAAACACAGTGGTGATTAAACAAGCCCATTATTCACTACGGGGCATTTTTCACCAGAAACCTGAAGTAAATGCCGATTTCCAACAAAAACAGCATAAATCACAGTCATAGATTGTGGATATTATAAATGGTTGTAAATGTTGAATGGCTGCCAAAGGTCCCAATTGTGATCATGTGAGATGGGCACCCAAATTCGAATCAAGGTCCATTGTAACTGCTAAACAATCAATCCTAATGATAACGCAGAATATTTGTAGCTCAGGGTTGCCAGGTGGAATTTTCAAGCTATCAGAAACCATTCCAAACCCTTTTTCACCTGAGTACTCAGTAGCAGATCTTCACAGATGAGAGGTCCAACAAGCAATTCCCGATCATGAAAAAGGTGTGATTCCTACAGTAACTGAACTGATCATGAGCCCAATCCACATAAATACTGCTCCTTTGTGGACAAAATAAATCTTCACATCATAGTTTGAGTGGTCAGCAAGACATAATAATGCAGGATGAGTGAGGATAGGAGGAAAGGATGGAAGAAGTAAGTTGGATACTTTCCTTTACTAGTGGTGTGTCAAAACTTTTATTTTCCAAGGAAGACAGCCCCAAATGGATGCTTTCTTTTCAAATATTTACAACAAGCCAAGTAAAGCTATACATTTCCACAAGCACTTGGTACATGCAGTTCAAGCCCTAAGACATTTACTCAAGAAATAAGTCACACCAAGCTTTAAAAAAAAATTACGTTCCAGTAACTGCACTCTGCAATAGATCCTTGTTTGGCTTTGTTTGACCTCCTGTTTGAATGGTTTGCTTTGGGCAAACCACTGTTAAATATTAGTATGCATATTGTTTTGTCATCTTAACATGTTTTCAACATTGTTGGAAAAAACAGGATATGAGTCCTCACTGAGATGTGTGTCCTCAAACACAACTTCTTGCACTGTAGAAGGGAAGATAAGGAGGAATGGCGACCCTGTCCTTCAGGTGTATCATCTTAACACTCAGAGCCTCCTGATTTCTTAGAAAACCTCCAAACAACTGTTCTTCTGTAAAATAGTGAAATAAACTGAAGTGGTTTTTCCCCCAAGACTCTTCTAAGCAATCAACTTTGTGAGTCAAAGCACAGCCTGTCCTCAGCTTTATTGACTTCAAAGCTGTAAAAGTACTTATTTTTCATGATTACCATTATCATCCAACTGGTCAAGCATAATATCAACTCGGTAGCAAATCTTTTCCCTCAGACAACCTTTCTCCATGTCTGACTCAAAGTGCTATCTACCAGCCCTGGAATCTGTGTCTTTGTGGAAAAAAAATGTTTCATTGCTGATCTCCATCCCTGTCCACAGAGGCAGCATGGCCAACTGGTAATGACCTCATTTTCATTTTGGTCTAGTGGTTAAGGCACCAGCGGGAGTGGAAAGTGGGAGATCATGAGTTCAAATCCCATCTTAGCCATGAAAAACCAACTGGGTGACTTTGGCCCAATCACTCTCTCTCAGTCCAACCCACTTCGCAGGGTTGTTGTTGTGGGGAAAATAGGAATAAGAAGGAATATTAGGTATATTTGCCACATTGAGTTATTTGTAAAAATAATAAAGGCAGGACACCAACAAACAAACAAAATGGAGAGCATACCGAGGAAAGAAATTGGTGGAGTCTGTTGGCCTTGTTTATCTCCTCTTCCTGTAAATATCACCAATAGCAAGAAAATTTCAAAAAGGAGATAATTCCAGATTCACTGACAGTTGTTAAATGGGGGGCAGGCAGAGGGGAGCATTACATTATGAAGAAGTTTCCCCCCCTGCTCCCCTCTCATCAGTTCTTAGCCGTTAACCTGCCAGATGTTGGCTGGGCTGATGCGGATCCCTCTTTGTAAGGCAGGCCTCTGATCTGGAGATTGGCTCAGCGACTGGACAAAAGTCACACGAGTGAGATCGGCAGATATACCAACTGGGTAAATAAATACCAATAAATAAATAATTTGAAAGATCCCAGCTCTGTCAAAGTTGGGCTGATCAATGATTGGCGAAGCACATCAACTGATACCCACAGTAAAACTGCTGCCACTTTTTGCCTGTTGAAGAGATAAACACTTGAACCCAGAAACGAAGAGAGAAAGTTAAGCTGATTTAACAGCAGTTTAATCTATATTTACCTTGATAACTTCCTCTTTCACATCAAAATAAAGCAAGATGTGTCAGGTTCTTCCCCATCACTGTGGCTTTTAGTAGTTTGAACAAAAAAAATAAAATTATGGAGAAATATTGATGTTTCAGGGAAATGTCTAGCATTAAATGCAGCTCATTTAATATGATGAAATGTTTGTCTAGGGAATATTATAAGCAATAATTGAATGATGATAAAAGCAAAGAGACTATCAAGCTTGTGTATTTGCCTTGTTTTCTAGGCCAAGGGTTTCCAAATTGGGAGGCATGTGCTGCAGGAGGTCATGAAGACATTTAGGGTATCATGATGAAATTTGAAGAGGCAGAGTAGAACGATAGCTTTTTGATGTGAAGGTGTGCAATATCAGTCAGTGTAGAAACCATGGTATACTATAAACATCTAGTTTCTGAAAGCCTTTGATAATATTGATCATGGTATATACATACATGTACGTGCATACGTAAAATTTTATAATGGTCTTTGACCAGCATTCAAAGTAAAAGGAAGCATATTGTTGCAAGAAATTCATTAACAGAATTACCACAGTACAATAAAATAATAAACAATATGTAAATTAGAGCTTTATGGCATGACAAAGCTATTTTGCTACCTGAAATGCAAGTGAGGGGTTAACATCCCTTAGAAGATAACTTGCATAATATTTATCTGAATAGTCCTCAAATTTGGAAATAATTGCAGACAGCAAAAAATTAATTGAAATTACACAACTATGATAGCATAAAAAGACACGTTTCTTCCTTTACCTCCCTAAAAACACAAAGGCTGTAAGGTCTTTGCAAATTAAAAAACAACAACTTTGAAATCTATTCCACTGTGAGTGCACAAGGAATAAGTATTAAAAAAGGATATAGGTCAAGCCCATCTATATTTACTCAGAGTTCAATTGTGCAAATACTTTGCAATAAATGGTTTATGGTCTACTATAAGGGAGGCTCATCCAATTTCATTGTACACATGTTGTGCATTGACAATAAAGATTTGAATTGAATTGAATTGAATTGAATACTATTTGGCAATAAACTTCATAAGCATTGGTGTTTGTTTGATATTGCCAATTTATTCCTTAACTGTTCATTTTATTTGCACAAATATATGTGACCGGGAGAAAGGCCAAGGCTACAGAGTATAAGTTTCATGTCAGTGAGATTGGTAGCTGTCCATCAACAGCAATGGTAATAGTTCTGTCTGTAGAATTAATCATAATTCTGAGCCATAAGATTAGAATCCTAATCCAGGCATTAACACTTGGAACAGCAGCTTCAAGCCTCAAGATGCATTAGGGACACATCAGGTTGCTTCATATCTACAGTAAATAAAACAAAGGGAAGAGAATTGCATCATCTGCATAAAATAAGATTGGAAGGTGTCCATCAATTAATTTTTGAGCCTATCAGTGTTCATTATCAGTATTAAAACTCTTTCAAGAGTTTAGGGAGTTAATAGATAAGTTAAAAAGTAGTGAGAGTACAATGAACGATTGTTTTACCCTCTCAGATGCCTGAATAAAATCAGAACGATCCTTTGCCAAGTCACATCTTACCTTAAGGCCAATATTTTTCTATATGGGTGATAAATTAATAATAAGACAAATTTATCTATACACAACTTAGACCAGGCCAGACATCATCATTAATTATCAGCTCTACTTTGAAATCAATAAAAGCTGCATATAAAGTCACATCAGAGTGATCTGGGTATTTTTTCACCAAATGTAACTAGGCAGTGGTGTCTGGTGGACTGTCCTGTTGGAACCTCATTTGCTCAATATCCATTATTCCTCCATTTACCACCCCATATGGAAATTTAATCAGTATATTAAAACCTGGTGTACTGTTTGCTGATGGTGTTCGAAAGGCTAACTGA